ATCAATCAATCACTCGATCAATCACTCAATCAATCAAAAACTCGATCACTCAATCACTCGATCAATCAATCACTCGATCAATCACTCAATCAATCAAAAACTCGATCACTCAATCAATAAACTAGTCAATCAATCAATCAAATAAGCATGCAAGCACAAATGAAAATCTTACCTAAGATCTTCTTAACCTTCTCATTTTCCTCCTCAAATTTCAAAGTTGCTTGGGCAAACGCTTTGTTTCCAGTAACAAAGTAATCAAGTAAACATTCAGTATTGTTCTTACAGGTTTCCCTCATCTCTGCAGTAATGTTGTTTTGAACGTCACTCAAGAATAGCGGTCTAAAGTTCACGTCAACATAGACTGGCAGCTTGTCACAACTGCTATTCACAAACAGCCTCTCGTCGTCTTGAACAACCCCTGAAGTATTTCAAATAAAAAAATAACAAAGTGAAAAGTGCGAACCTCTATAAAGTCTGGCTGACAACGGCTTGTTCCTGATAGCTACACAATTAGGAGACCTATTTAGGTTGGCAGTTTGACATGATTTTACCGCTGATTTTAGAGCTCAGTTTTTGTATTAATCTTATTTTTGCGGCTGTTTAAATTTGTAAAGATATCAGGGTATCGCTCGTTTCCGGTTTCGCCGATTTTGCAACGCGTTTTACGGTTTCAATGCACTTTTATGTTCGGATTTGAGGTAAATCTTCCTATATTAGTCTTCCAAATTAGTCCAAGTATAGCGATGAGACACTAAATTTCTTTAGCAATATTATACTCAAAGTAACATAAAGAAATCACTTTTTGTCATCATTTACGTTTCCCGCTCCTTTATTCTAAAATAACGAATTGAATGTTAAATTTGATGTAAATATGATGGAAGTGTCCAAAATGATTTAAATTTGATGTAAATGATTTACATCAAATTTACATCATTTTGGACACTTACTTCATTTTTTACATCAAATTTATAACCTTTTAAAGTGCGACGATTTTTTGAAGTTCTAACGCTAAAACCAAGCACAAAACCAAACAGTGCTAAATGTGGCCGATGTATAAAGTAAATAAGACAAATTAATCTTTGAGTGTCCTGGGCGTTTGAACTTGGTATGAATTCATGCGATGAAATAGGAATGGAAAAAAGAATGAATATAGTATATCTATGTTGTTCATATACTTACAGGTTTTGCCGTATTCAAAGATCTCCTTTTCAGTCGAGTTCAATGGCACGGCAGTTCCGTTGCGAAGGAACAAATCATCGTTTGGATCCTCGTTTAGTTTACCCAGAAGTCCTTCTGTTCTGTTCTCGAAATTGCTGGTGGGGATACTGAGTCCAAACTGAAGCAGATCCATCCCTGGTGTGATCTCTACTGTGAGCCCGCTGTCATACACGACTACCAAGGCATTAGAATTGTTTGAGAGTGTGAAACCTTCGATGGGATGCTCATCAATGTCAGCGATTCCAAAGGGTTGACAGTTCATTGATTTGTTTACGGTTGTGATACTTAGATTACCAGCCATATTTCCATCTAGTAAAACCTTAAAAAATAAGAGATAAGATTAGCAAGATAACATACGCCAGGATAGCATGGAATAAAGTAAACAAAAACAACAACAACAAGGAATAAGGAACAGGAAGCAAGAATATAATACTGTAGAATTGGCAGGGAATAAAGCAAAGAAAAAAACACGTAAAAACTAGTGTTGGGCATTTAATGAACAGAAATAGCATGGATACAGTTAACTGAGAGAGAAAAAAAAAGTCTAGTAGAAAGTCTAAACAAAACACTGTTGAGTTGACTATAAATCACGGTCGTGACATGGGTTTTAGCTTTTGTATCGGGATCACATCTGCTAGGATAAGCTTTAAGCAATTAATGGGATCATCAGATATCAAATTGGAATCACTGAGGAAAGACTTTGATCCAAGAAAATAGGATCATCAATATACGCCACGATTCTGCATAAATAAAGCTAAATCATAACATACTTGTACAGTTGTATTTTTACTTGACCGCATAGCAAACCCTGAGAAAACAGTTGCTTTTGCAAGGCTGCCATCTTTATTTTTTGATCTCTTGGTTCGAGCATGAATAGCGTTAAAGTCTTCTGAATCAGTTGTCTTTAGTAATACGTATTCTCCAAGTCCGTTGAACGTGTACTTAAAACCATCAAGAGTGGTAATATGTGGATCACCCCACATAAAGCCTAAAGATCAAAAGAAGAGAAAGAGTTTAGGCTTTTAGACTTTTAGACCTTGGTCAAACGTCGAACTTAATATTAGCCTTACCAAATTCACGTTTTTATTGTCCATCTTGCGTGGTTTTTAAACTCATAACATAATAGTTTTTATAAACCAGTGCCTTCAAAAGCTTCCGAGAGCTTTCAATAAAAATCGAAAGAAATTTGAATAGAGCTTTTCGAGCTAAATCAACTTCGGCGTTTTTGACACTGAACTTTACGAAAGTTGATATCCTGTTAATTTTTCGTATTTCGCATGTGACAATTCAAAATCATCATTGATGATAAGAGCAAATCATTTTTTAAGAGAAAAAGAATTACTTTTGCTAATTTATAATTTCAAACATAAAATGAGGGTCCACTTGAGCATTTTATGAGTTGAAAAGTGTGACAAAAAGAAAACAGCTCAACATCGTAAGCAATTTGTTAAATACAAGAGACTGCATCCAAGAGACGCGATTTGACATATGGCATATGAATTTTTCAATCTTTGATTTGAGCCAATTAGAAAGCACCTCTCAACGAACAAAAGAAACGATCGAAAAGGCTCTTGAATGTACGTGGACCCGATCTAGGGGCGCCCGCGTGATCATTTGATCAAGGGAGAAACCTCCAGAGAAAAGAAATACACACTAATCGGCCATGGGAACGCTTATCACCATGGGAACACTTATCGCCATGGTACCTCTGATCATCGGGATAATTCACCTCTGATCATCGGGATGATTCAAAAAATGTAACTGACTACATCTATATAAATAAAGACTAATAAGCTATATGCTTTGTTTTGTTTCGTTATAATAGACCAATCCCGCATTCTCTTGGATGAACACGAAACAATGGCTTCACTTCGAGGCTGGAGTTTTCGACAAAAGATAAAACTCCAGCCTCAACATGAAGCCATTGTTTTGTGTTCACCCAAGCGAATGCGGGATTTGTGTATATTGTTAACATACCCCTTCTAAAAGGACGTCGTCGGATTCTCCTTGTGCGTCTTATGCGTATCGTCCATATATTCCTCAACCAGGAACAAAATCCTCTGCATTCCCGCTGTTCGTCGGAGTCAGCTGGTCTTAGCTGGGAGAAAGATTCACAGTACCTCTTGCTCTCAATGCAGCACCAGTTGAATGCGTTGCCGTCATTCGGTCTAGAAAAATTATGCAAAACTGGTGGTGATTAACCTTTTTAACGGATTAGTTCGTGTGATCAGTGCGTGTGATCAGTTCGTGTGATCAGTTCGTGTGATCAGTTCGTGTGATCAGTTCGTGTGATCAGTTCGACTATGCGGGTACTTATAAACGTAGCTTAAGATAAATACCATTTGACAGAATCAAGCGCGAGTTGTTTACAGGACTTCGTCCGCATTCTGCGATACGATCAAGATAATACTGGCCATGCAAGCTGAGGTCTAGACCTTTACAATTAGTGCGGGGGTACGAGCTACTCACCCGAGCGCTCTTCCTGCCTTAATATAAGGACTAGTGATCAGTGCACCAGAATCAGTATCGTAGCAGCATGACTTGTCTCTTCTCCGTGTGATATAACATGTACGATCTCTTATATTTGTCATTCTTCTGAATAACCATCTCATAATCCAGAATTGCCTTTCCGTTGAAGGACATTCAATTAGGCGATTTAGCCATCCTTGATTTTTCTTGTTTTCTTTCAAGATCCAATTCAAACAGTTTTCCTCTGGAGATACATCTGGCTTTGCATCTTTGAACACCCTTACAATGATACCCTGACGCTTTTTACCAGAAGGATCGGTGAAGGTTTGCTCATCGATGTTCAAGATATCATCGTTAAATGATCCATCTACTTGATAACCGTTTCTCCTTTTTTTAAAAGAGAATCCTACCGTTGCTTTTCTTAATTGACCTCTTTTCCATGTCATGCCGCCGTGTTCATAGAGGAAAATTACGACAGTTTTTCTGCCTGCAACAGCGATGACAACTTGAAATGTGTTTGTCTGTACGATAATGAAAAAGGCATATTAAAATAAAAATAATTATTAGTGAAATAGTACAAATGTAAATACAAGAGTATATGGTCGTATATATATATAAGAGGATGAAGAACTCTCATCGTATTGACATTGATTACCTCTTTAGAATAAGGTGATTTATAAAAAATTCTCCTCAGGTACCAATAAGGAGACATGTTACTCCAAGTGATCACCATCGCCCATTGGGTATCGAAGTTTGCTTCGTTTGTTGAATTGATCACAAGTTTGTTGATCCTACTCAGAATGGAGGCAGCATTATCGTCACTCTGAGATAATTCATAATATGTCACATTGGACGTGTCATATCTATAGTTTGTCCAGGCCCAGAATATCGATATGATATCCAAATTCAATAATTTCAACTGCCTTGGACTGGATTTTATCCTTCGACCAACAGCAAGGTAGCCATCCTCGGTAATCTGGAAGATAATTTATTTGTTAGATTCTGCGAGACGCCATCTCCCTTTTTTAGGGAGTGAAGAGTACATTGCACAAAAATCGTCGTTTCTGGTTTACAAGGTTTCTCAAAGCTAAAAAATTCTACAATGAAGAACCCGACACTGTCACGAAACCGCTGTTCAGGCCCCTGGGACATACATTGCAAAAGATAAAAAATGTTGCAAAGATAGAAATGTAATAGATATACTCACGTAAAATTTTTTATGCATTTTTTCATTGTAATAAAACTTGAGTGGGGGCTTGATTTTGTCATCAAATCCCTTTAGTTTCTTGATTTCAAGTCCACTTGGCGAAACGTCGAAGAGCCTCTCGACTACAAGGAGAAAAAATAGAAAAAGAATATTTTTTTAACTTAAAATTGCAAAAACAAATAAACTGACATTCACGAAACTTAAAGCCGGGGAGGGATTTGATATTCAGCAGAGAAATGTGGGGTTGATGAATTGAATTGAATAGCTCGTTATAAATTCAGCAGGCTATATATGAGTGACGATAAGTGACCGGAATCACTCATATATAGACCGCTGAATGTATAACCAGCTATTCGATTCAATTCATCAACCCCACATTTCCCTCATGTTCCCTGCTTAATACCAAATAAAGTTAGTAAACTAAACTCTTTTTCCCTTAAAAAGACCAGTGTGGCTAGCAAAACTTGAGGAGATTGAGCGCGTAATAAGTTCGAGTCCCGCAGCTTTTCTTCGTGTTCATCAGAGAAAAGAAATAACAATAACCATCTTCGTTACTTTTAACTAAGAATCTATACGTCGAAATTGGACCAACGTGTATGAATCAGAAGTAATAGTGTAACTCGTATTTCTCCGCTCCTCGGTCCATTCTCTTCCAAGTACGTACACACGGCCATTTGGTACTTTAKTTTGTTCCTTCTGGAATCCTTCCCTCGTATTTCTTTGAGCGAGTTCAACATCAAAAACTATTGTAATTTTTCTCTTTTTTTTCTCATCTGCAGACTTTGTCATCGTTATTTGCGGGCAGAGGCACACGGAGTTCCCAATCCGATAGCAAATTGTCAATATCAAAGTTCGGCAAAGGAATGCTGTCAAACGTATTTTGAGCTTTAAACAAATCGTCGTCACTGTTCGACATCGTTTCCAGAATGACTGTTAAGAATATTTGATAACAATATTCAAATTTCCATTGCTCGCTTTCGCATGAACAGGTTTTCTTAAAGGAAACTAATTTCAACAGTCCATGAAAAGGTCTCAAGAGGAGAGGATTCTCTTGTTCGAATCCGAACTAAGAAAACATTCATTTAGTCTATTCAGTTTTTGCGAAAACCACGTGAATTGAAAACTAAGTTTGTTAGTTACCTCGCACGTCGGCATTACGCTATATACAGCCCTCGGGCCTACTTAACATCATGCCTATTACGGGGGCGGATCTAGTGGAGGTGCTTTGGTTGCGGAAGCACTCCCCCTTTTAAAATGCTGGATCCGCCCCTGTATTAGTAAGCTACTTGCTTGACTAGTCTATGTGTGGTTTTCGTTCTTCTACAACATATAGGATTCTTGCGTCCTATTGAAAAAATTTGTTAAAAAGTGTTAGATATACAAACCTTTACAACTAAACCCACTGCCTTTATAACCCTTTTCGCAGATGCACGAGTAACCGCCATCTTTGTTCTTGCATGTAGCATGCTTGTGGCATTTATGACTGCCGACTACGCACTCGTCGATATCTGAAAATATACTTTTCTTTCAGTGTTGATTTTTTAGAATGATTAGCAATCTTGAACTATGAAATGATTCATAAATGTTTTGTTGAAGTTTCTGTGGTGTCATCAACCCAACTGAATGCATGTTGAATAATGATATCATGCAACGGAGATTCGATTTCATTAACATGATGTTGAAATTATGACTCGATGTTGATACAATAATCACTGGAAAAAATCGCGCGCTTTAAAGGTTGTAAATTTTATGTAAATATGTTGAGTGTAAGTGTCCAAAATTCTGTAAATTTAATGGAAATCATTTACATCAAATTTACAGAATTTTGGACACTTACATCATATTTTCATCACATTTACAACCTTTAAAGCGCGCGATTTTTTCCAGTGAATGATGATGCACTTAAACAAACCATCCATCAACTCGTTCTCTCTGAACTCAAATAAAAAAAACCCTTTCATTCTTTATAATCATTGTTTTTTCTAACTGTATTTCAGCTTACCTGTGCAATTGATCAATAGAGAGCCGTTTTTGGGGTTTTTCTCAAAACCAGGACGACAGACACATTCATAAGAGTAATCGCCAGTGCTATTGCACATACTGTTAGCGAAGCTTCTACAGGGTCTTTGCTCCTCACATTCATTGATGTCTATAGAGTACAATTATATTACATCAATACTAAACTTAATCTACTAGTAAAAGTATCGGACTTATTGTCCAAGATCCAGGGATTCAAATCCAACTCGTTTAAAGACCCATTGCACCTAGAACATTTGTAAATATTTTATTTTACAAATGAATCTCTTTTCAGATTAGTTGAAAATCTAACATGGCGAATTTTTGTATGAGAAAACAATAATAAAGACAGCGATATAACGATGACAACGATAACAACGACAGTGATAGCGATGTTAACGATAGCGATAACGATAATGACAGCGACAGCGATGTTAACGATAGCGATAACGATAATGACACCGACAGCGATTATGTTAACGATAGCGATAACGATAATAACAACGACAGCGACAGCGATAATGTTAACGATAGCGATAACGACAATGACAGCGACACTGTTATAATATCAATGAAAGAGATAATAATAAAGACAGCAATGAAAAGAAGAATCATAATAGTTCATACTCATTTACCAACGCAGGATCTTTGGTGTCTGACATATCTGTATCCGCGCTTACAAGCACAACGGTATGAGCCAATAGTGTTCGTACAGTTCACATTACGTTCACTGTGGCTAAAACATGCTTTAGGATTCAGTTTACATTCGTTTATATCTAGACAAAGGAAAAATTAGCGTAAGCATTATATTGAGTTTTATTTATCAGTGGCCTTATTCATGATTGATCAATTCTACTCCCTCATGCACTCTCAAACATTGATTGTTCAGGAAGGGTTTTGTGTGTTGTATGAAATAAACACTTTGCAACTGGGTATATTAGGAGGAGCCGACGGGTTCCTGGGAGAAATATATCCGTTCTTATGTCCCAGCCAGCTGTAAGTCACAACTGGTTGCCAGCGAGAAATTCAGGAAAAAGACCTCACCGGGAAAGGAATACTTTCTAAGAAGTCATTTGCCAGGAAAATAGATATTTCCTAACTAAAAAAAGTATGAGCCGTTTTTGACCATAAAAACGTTATATAAGCCTTTTTTGACCTTAAAAAGTTTTGCCAGGAACAAAAATATTTTAAAGAAGGAAGCGCGCCACATTTACTTGTGAGATTGCCAACAATGTAGCTAAAAAATCCCGTTCCCAGGAAAAAAATTGTACAAGAACAGTTATTTAGAAGAACAGACCCCGTCGGCTCCTCCTGGTATATCACGTGACTACAACCACATTTTTAAATGGAAATACAAGTCAGAATAACAAGAAGACGTATTTTCAAGTCTCAAAAATAAATACTTGAAAAATGCATGGAGATATAAAATAAGTCTTTTTCCGCGTTAGTGAAATCTCCTCTAAAATAGAACTCGAGTAACTCGAAGGCAAAGATTGCTCTTCACAGCTGAAACTTTGCCATTTTGCCTGTTTCAAACTGCTCTTTCCATTTCTGAACATATTTGATCGTTGATCGATTTAAAATAGCTGTGGACGCGTCACCCACAGCTGCAAAAAAGCCATACTCGCAGTGCGACTGAATAGTTTACTATTTTTTAGACTTATAATGTTTATGAATCTAAGAATCGGATGATTTCTAACCTGTGCATGTGTTATTGACGTCGTCTTTAAAGCCACGTTTGCATTGGCACTTATATGAACCAATTGTATTCTTGCACTCTGAGTTGTTGCGGCAGGTTACATTTCCCATGTCGCATTCGTCGATGTCTTTTTAAAAATTAAGATTTTTGTGTTAATTTTGATGACCACAACAATAAAGACATTGCTCCGTACTAACAAACCTTGACATCTATATCCATTTCCAGTAAATCCCTTATTGCAGCTGCACGAGTAGCTACCAACGGTGTTATTGCATGTAGCACGCGGGTTACATTCATGAGTATTTTCAGTGCACTCGTTAATATCTGAAAAATAATATGAATCTCTTTTGGTAGGAATCCTATAAGGTCAGATTGATTTTATATAATACATTCCATTGTCGGATAAATATATCAAAAACTTGTTCATGTGTTTTTATTGTTTCGCCCCATGATCCCAGGAATGATACGATGATGATACGATGATAATACGACGATGATACGATAATACGACGATAATACGATGATAATACGATGATGATACGATGATAATGCGAACGATAATAATCAATCTCGTACCCAGAGCCCGCACTATTGCCATCCAGCGGAAGTCAATGTGAGAGACTATGGAGGAATCCATTTTTTCTCGATTCGTGATTGGTTGAAAATGAATAAAATCATCCTTTTTTCGCATAACCACACATGTTTTCACACATTTTTGTTTTTAAAAAGGTGTATATATCGTTTCTCAACTAAGTTGTTTGCTAAACCTTCTTCATTTTTGTAATTTTAATGCTCTAAACGCAGAAAGCAAATTTGACCTCATTTGCATAATTTGCGACGGAAAAGCGTCGCAAATCCAGTCGATTCCTCCAGAGTCTTTCCGGTGTCAGCATACCGCTGACATTAGCCGTGAAGACTCTGGGCTCGAGATTGGAGTCTTTCCGGCGTCAGCATACCGCTGACATTAGCCGTGAAGACTCTGGGCTCGAGATTGGATAATAGTACGATGATGACACGATGATAATGCGGACACGTTGATAATGCGATGATGACACGATAATAATACGATGATGACACGATGATAATGCGATGATGATACGATGATAATACGATGATGATACGATGATAATACGATGATGCTACGATGATAATGCGATGATGACACGATGGTAATGCGATGATGACACGTTGATAATGCGATGATGACACGATGATAATATGACGATATTACATATATTGATCGTTTTCAACCATTCCCATGAGATTCAAAAGATAAAAGACCGGCGGCCATGTTGGAGGAATGAACAATAGATACTAATGAGAAATCCTTTGTTAAAGTTCAACCAAGATGGCCGCTGTGACGTATAGTGAAAACGAAGAATAAGACGGTATAATGATAACTTGTTACTTTACGCTTGATAAAATTGTTCTGACAACTCTCTGGTTCATTTGTTCAAATTAATACACTAGTATACCCTTTAAGCAACACTCTGAATGGCACTGACTTACTTACAGTTCCACTCCACACTTAAATTTTCCTCATCTTTATCAAATCATATTTAATAATTCCCTTCATCTCCGATAATGTAAAACTGGTCGTTTTGGGGGGGTAGATGTCACATTAGAAGAAACGTCTATGATGACGCTATTTCTAACCTTCGCAAGTGTTATTAACGTCTTTAAATCCTGGGTTACATCGGCACTTGTACGACCCTACCGTGTTGAGGCAGTGTGAGTTATTTCGGCAGTTTGGTCTTGGCCTCTGTCTGCATTCATTGATATCTATACACAATAAACAAAATAACGTAATCGTGTACGCGCTCATTTTGGGGGGCATTTTGAACATTTTCGACTAGCTGCAATATATTTAGCTCCGCCGGGGTCCTCAGTGGCAAGCATCAGGTGTAGAGATACAAACAACACGTTAAAATCAACGTTAAAATCAAAATCAAAATGTTTAAAAACAAATTCAATTCCCCTTTTCCTTGTACGCTTGACGAAGGCAATTTTTTATGAACGCGAATATCAGCGAGCTGTATAATTTTAAGTGAGCTAAAAGGTTGAACCGCTATCATTTTTTAATTTTACAACTGAAAAATTGATTTTCTCCATTTATTTTTAGAGCAAACGCAGGAAAACCATGAAATAAAGTCAAACTAAATACTAACAAATAGCGGCTATTTAGAGACAATTTGTCAGTATCAATGAATAACCAGAATACAATGAAGATGAATCCACATGGGACTATTTTTCATTCATCTTTATGCTATATGCTCTAGTAGTGAAAGTAACACATTCGTGATATCTTTATATATTGGAGGTAAATAAAGGTTATTTCAAAACATAATTTACTTTGATAGATAATTACAGAATATTACATGGTCGCTTGGAGATACGAATTTTTTTCCGTATCCCGCGCGCCCATGTAATATCCTCTATTTATCTAGACTTGCATCATCACTTACCTACGCACAATCTATTGGCGTCCAAAGTTTTATTTTTAGGGCAGATACATGTGAATCCAAAGGGATTGTCCTTACAGGTCACACCACTTATCTTGGCACAAGGTTTTCTTGATATGCATTCATCAATATCTTAGAATAAGAAATAGTATTGTCAAGTGTCAATATGTCTTCGAAGATTTGATCACAAGGGTATTTCTGTATCTTGATCAAATTTATTAATAATTATAATTCATAAGGTTAATATAATGGAAAATCATTGTCGTGACGACCACTATCTTAATATGAGTAAAAAATATATAGATATAGATATAAAAATAAAAAATAAAAAAAAAATAATACGAAATAAAAAAATAATAATAATAAAAAAAATAATAATAATAAAAAAAATAATAATAATAAAAAATAATATGAGTAAGAGTTTGTCCTGATTGGACACAACTGACCCAATTTTCTACTCACTGGTCAAAATAGCCCTTGAAATTTTCTTAACGAATTCTTCCACCGTCCAACTGAGGATTTCAAACTTCCGTAAAACGATAAATTCGTTGAAATTGCAGAACGTGAACTTCTTGAATTCTCTCTCCAACAAGGTGAGGTTTTGATGAAGTCCAAAAATCTCTAAGAGATCTTTGAAAGTTGTGTTTTTAGGAAGGAAATGATTTTCGACAAAATCATAAAAATTCGTGTTGCACACTTTAGTTGGATTCAATCCGTTTACTTGGAAGATCAAGTACGTTAATTTCAGCTTTACCAGTCCTTTCAGGTTAGTGGTCAGTGGTTGCCATTCCTCTGCAATCTGTTCTTTTAGATTAAGAAAGGATATGGAGCTTGTATTGATAATGATTTTATGAAAAGCGTTTCCTTTTCTTAAAACCCGTAGTAGCTTAGCTTTAGCAACTTTAAACAACAAAGGAATGAAGTTGTCCACTGTAGCATTTAATAACTGCCCAGCAGGTATGATGGACCATTCCTCAAGTTTTCCAAGGGTAACATTTTCGTGCTCGGCGTATTTTATAAAATAAATTTGAATGGCTCTGTTCTCTGTTTCACGGTCGCTCAACGACATGATTTCTGAAGGTGTGAGGTTAAAAGGTGGTTTTTCTAAGTCATCCATTGTAACATTGTATCGCTTAAGAATAAGTTCCTTTCGCGATTTTGACTGTGCTATGTTCATCTTATACTGTGAGAAAATTAGACTGTACGCAAACACCAAGTCAAACATTTGTGAAACAGTAGAATTCAATATAACCCCAGAGTCACGAAAAGCTATTTTTGCAAAGTCCAGAACCCTAAATCTGAAATCTTCCAGTGCAACTCGTCTTGGACCGTAAGACGCCCAGAATGTCACGTTGTCGACCTGTACATTGAACATTATACGAAAGAGATCGTAGAGAGTTGTGGTTGTTTTGTTTAGTCCACTCTCCTTGAAAAGATCATCCACTGTTTTATTTTGAACTTTCAGTCTTCCTTGCCTTCTAAATTGCCTGAGTTTCATGAGCCAATTCTTTGACGACTGAAGATGGCGAATGGCACACTTTAGAGAAAGGTCCTTCTGAAACGAGCTCACATTCGTATAAAGCAAGTCCACCATCTCGATCATACTAAAGTCCAGAAGATCTCTCGGAAAGCGAAGTTCCATCGCCGCTTCTTCAACATTGCTTGCATTGATAGCAAAAAGCATGATATGATCAAATCGAGATTGATCTGAATAGTGCCCCATTTCAATTAGCTCGTGGATCGTCTTATTCACAATGTCAGTCTTGTTCTGAAAGCTTACTTTTATCACTGCATGAACATCTTTCAATACAGTTTCGGTCGTGTTGGTCATGAGAATGTTCAGTAACTCGTTAACGGTAGTGTTTCCAGGGAACGATTCAGGATCTTTGAGATTTTGAAATGCGACTTCTTTCAAAGTAAACTCCAAATAGGGTGCACAATCATTCCTGCTGCCCAGCTTGTTCATAGTTTCCGTTAAATCCCCCGTGGCATTTACAGCATGAGAAAGAATGTCAAACACAGTAATCTCTTTGCAGCCCGCCATGGTGGCATTGGTTGTCATAAGGTAGTCTTTGTACTTCTTGAGCAGGTTAGAAACTGTTTCATTCTGAAGTGACTCAGGAATGCTATGGTCCACGCATGCGCTATGTTCTACCACAGTTGTGACGCAACACGTGACTAAAGCTGCCAATAGAATGAAAGCTTGTAAAGACTGCATTATGCTACTGTTTGATCTGAAATGAGAAAGGAATTAAAACTGAGCCTACGAATCTATTTGAAAAATGTCATTTCTGTCAGGTTTACTTATGCAAGAAAAAATTGTCAAAAACTCGTTATCCGATTTCAATACATGCAGGGAGGAATATAAATACATTTATTATATAGATGAACTCTAACGCGCGCTCTGATTGATCAAAAAAGTGTGGTTTATGAGAGTATAAACCACGATTGTGCTCAAAAAAGATTTTTGCTCAAATATATACGAATTTACTTAGGAATGTACTTAGGAATCTCCTGTACTTACAAAATCTCCTGCACTTACCAAATTTCCTGTACTTACTAAATCTCCTGCACTTACCAAATCTCCTGTACTTAAGAATTCTTCCATGCTCAAGAAATCTCCTCTACTCACGACAAACCTCCTGCACTTACAAAACCTTACTACCAAATCTCCTGTACTCAGGAAATCTCCTATACTTATGGATCTCCTATGCTCACAAAATCACTAATCCTAACTACCAAATCTCCTGCACTTGTCAACACCAATAGTATATCTTTTAAGAAAGTCACAACAACTTTTAAAGGATGCTTTTAATTTACGATCAGTTTATGGTATTTTTAATTGATACTTTGGCTATACCATACTTTGTTTAAGATCAAAACCTTGGACAGCACCAGTCACGACTTTTACAATTAGCCTTTTTCCAGTTCAATGCCCGATACCGCGCTTTTTAGTAGACGGCAGACTCACTTGCGCATGCGTTGAGAACAAAGCAAAAAAAAGTTAATTTCAATAGCTTTAGAAATTTGAATCTTGAGTTTGACCTTGAGTTTGAGCCTTCTGGAAATACAGGCTTAGCCTCAAATCTGAGAGAATGCAAATTTGTAGAACGTTTTTAGTGACAACATTTTTTCGTGCTATCTTTTGTTTTTGGTAAGACCTCTGAACTAAAACAGTGGTTGCTCGCTTTGAAGTCGTATTCAGCTAGTAGCATCAAGTGAACAAAACGTATCCACAGTAAACGAGCAGATGACGTCAAACGAAGCCTCTAGAGCTACCGTGAAGGTATTTAAAGCGTTTGAAATGCTTGAAAAATGTGTTATATACGTAGGGTTAAAGGCTACTACGCTATTTGAACACAAATATATACGTCACAAACAGTTGCCATAGTACTTTGTAAATACCAAAGTAGATTAACAATTTACACAGATTTCAGGTGCATCATGACAAGTTGTATCTTCTGTGCAGCCGGTTATATGATATAAAACGTCTGCATGGAGACTAGACTACTCGGAGGAAGAACAGACGATCATAAATCTCTCGCGCCGTCAGATTCGGCAGGACTTTCGTGATAACGGGATCGTTCGGGAATTTCGTCGTCTCGAAAGAAAGCAGCCGAGTGCTTGAGATTCTTCGAGCAAATCCAAAGTGGGCATCGAAATAATAAAAACTGTGAAACATCAAACATTTACTGGCTGGATCAAAGAAACTTAGACCGAAAGGGAGCATGGAAAATTTTGAAATCGAAAGCACTTACATTTTTTCAACAGCACTGCGCTATAGCAAAGAAATAGAATGTAGGAATGGTGCTAATGTAACAATTTGTTGTGAAATTTCTCATATGGCCTTACTGCCACGGCTTCTAATATTTTAAACACATCAACGATTGTCTAGTCGAGTGTATATGAAGCCAATGTCACGAACGGCTCACAGAAGCGATTTAATTAAGGAGATGAATTTATAAAAATGAATTTGAAAACTAAACTCTAGACAATAAAAATCGAGAAAGCTATGAAGTGAAATTGATTTAAAAAAGTTTTTTTTTTCAAATAGTTTATCCATTTGGACAAGAAACTTTCTGATGAAAAAGCGTTAGGCGATAATAGTACCTTTAGTGAACTTGCTGTAAACAAGTGCCGTAGGGGAGTTTAAGTGGAGCACTAGTGCAAAACAAAATATATATATATGCAAAACAGGACAGTGGAAACGCGGTAAAAAAGAAATCATGCATTAAAAACAAAGCGTATTTCTTTACTGTCAGCTGGTCTCCAATTTAGGAATATTATAAAAATTGGTGAATTATACATTTACGTGTGACTATTGAGTTCAAAATTATAATAGATTAGATTGAGAAAATGGTTTTCACTAGACTGACTATGTAGTTAATAACCTAATAGAAAAACCCTACTCTTGGGAAAACTACACTAAGTCAAACATCGATAAAGGTTTGTTTAAAGAAGGGATATATTAAAAAAACAACAACAAAGAATTAAAACAAGTTTAGAATCGAAACTAGATCTCTATGTTATGTCAACAACAGACAATGACAGCCCTTATATCCCCACAAGCAATATTAAGAAGGAGGGTCCTTATGCTTTAATGAATATTCTTTGTAAACACCAAGAGACAGAAAAACTAATACGCTTTTTAAGAGACTCGTCAAATTTTATTTTATAAGAGAGATAAGTCTCGGCTGACAAGTGAAAACTGACTTTGCTTCCGAGTAGTGAAAACTAAATGATTAAATGGAAGATTTAGTTTATGCGTATCGAAACAAAAAATATGTTTATATTGAACCCGAATCGACTAAACATTAGTCTATAACATGTGAGGGTTTTTTAAAACCTATTTATCAACTCTTCGCAGTATGCTTTATTATTATAGTAGGTTGTGCTATCCCTGTGATTAATATCCCATTCATATTTGAAGTGTCACGAACGTCACACTATAAAGTAAAGTAGTGGCCTTCCTTTTTAAGTATGATAGGTGTGTTATTTTCTTTGGGATTATGCACATTCCAGTCACACTGAAATTCGCTTTTTGTTTTGTAATGATTTTGTTTATGTATATTATGTATTTCTAGGACCTCTTTAAGCGAGCGCATTGAAGTTAAAATATGATAGCTTTTTTATCACTACTAAAAAGTCTGAGCAAATAATTCAATTCACAGAGAGATTAATGCAGCTCACGCTAGTTCTCATTGAAAACAATGTTAACAAAATAGAAAAAAACTGTTATTCTATGATAAACATACGTAATTTTAGTATTTACCTTGATCAAAGTGGCAAAGATGCAGGAATTTACGTCAATATTTCCTCCTTTTTGTGCGTAACCCGTAAGACGAGCAACCGAGACTGCGAAAAAACATCTTATGCATATGCAGATATATGGTGAGCCGTTCTGGCTAAGTGCACTTGACAGATCTAGAACTTGGATCAGTCAGACTCCAGACGTCACCACAAAAATACCGTGCAATTAAATTAATCTTTCTTTTCTTCGATTTGAGATTTTTTTAAGCAAAATCAATGAATGCGTTGTAAATAATAATTGAAAACAAGTTAAATAGAAAAAAAGGTGGTGTTTTGGAAATACGCTGGTGATTTTGTGAAAAATAGAATAAATTGAAAAATATGAACACATAATTATGCAGCTAAAAATAGGGCCACCTCATTTCAAATATAGCTAGCTATGTTTCAAGACATCCAAGTGTGAAATTAAGACAGTAAAATAACGCGGAATACGCTTGAATGCATTTTCGACTCGTGCCTATTATACCGACTGAACATACAAACGCTTATGCCTCTTTAATGAACAGCGCACCTTCACAAACGCACTTCAAAGCGTCTAAAAAGCGGAACTCAATCGCATTAATAAGAAAGACAGACGGAAGAAAAGTCTATTAAAAACACTTATCCTCGCAGATCTATATCAATCAAGTTTTCCGTGGAACATAACCGATGGCAGCTCTTCAGTTTTCAAATGTCTCAAATCGCTGTTCTTTCAGGAAAGAGTACTTTGATATTTTATAGCATACAATTTGAAGATGATATCCTTCGCGATAACATTCCTGTGTAATCTCTTACCTATTGTACATATATAATACATACTTTTTATTTTATTTGCTTATTTGTTGATTCTATTGTTTATTGTTATATAGCTATTTCAAAAAAGGCTGTCGGGTAAAATGTCGAATGTCAATTGTCGAACGGCAAATGCACGACCGAAGGTAACCATAGTTTTTGCTAGTGATGAGAAATAACAACTGATTTATACTGTAAGATATTTGGTGTGAAACATTGGCTCCATTTAGTCTTCACTTTCTATGCAAGGTGCATCCAATAAGTCAAATTTTGTTTTGTCAAAACAGTCTAACCATAGTCCCCTTCGGTCGTGCAATCTCCCTTCGACAAGTTGCAGTTCGCCGTTCTCCCCGACAACGTTTTTTGAAATAGGTGTATACAGTCAATCTCATTAACGTTGTTTGGTTGTAAACACATAAAGAAAACAACAAACTCGTTTGAATAAGTAAGTTTTTTTTAAATATTTGTATCAAGAATTGTGATTATAAACTTTATAGATAATAGCGAATTAAATGGTAAAAACATTTTGAATCTTTATGTTGAAAGTCTTTGGAAATAAATTAAAAATATGATATATGCCAATGACTTTCTTGTTGTCATTACCTTTTAACCTTTTTTTTGAATATAATACATACTTAATCATTAATTTAAATGTTGAAATTTGATGTAATAAATTGAATATTTATTCATAAAATGAAGTAATGATACAATCGAGCATTGATTATTGCAGGTGGAGAACATAACTAGCACCACTCTAGAATTTTTCCCATCTTGTCCATATATATTTTTCAGGCCTGTAAAATGTAACAAATTGTGCACGATTTTGAGTAGTATTTACTCTTATTGCCACAATCTTGACATCATTAAATGTTCAAAACTCAAGTAGAACTACGAGCGCACGAGAATTTACACAAAAGTGTTAGTTATGTGGTAAACACCATCAGACGGAGAAAGCTCTAGACTGGCAACAAACAGTGATTATCACAAAACAAACAAACAATGATCACACACTGTGTAGTCAGAAAAAAGACCCCCCAAAGTCGAAAAAATAATCACAGGGATATGGTTGATAATTATAAACAAATAGAAATAGCTTCCTGTGGACACTTAAATTGAATGATTAGTTGGCGTTAGAAGCTTTGGTATGGGAATGCAGTTTTGGTCAAATAATCCAGTTTCGAATTCTCCAATGCTCTGTGTTAGCCTCATTTGTGCGCAAAATATTTCTAATTGTGAGAATAAAAGTGTGAGATTTTAAAATCAATTTTAGTGTTTTTCTTCACAAATTCCATGCATTTTCTCGAACTATCAATAAACCAAAAGAATGTGTTACTTGGTTTCGAGGCACAGAGCAAACCAGAACTCGAAATTGGAGCATAACTAGTGAAATGTAGAATTTTGTTCCATTCAAAAAGGACCATTTTCATTCTTTTTAAATTCTGAAACTAACACTTTTGATTAGTATATTTTGGTTTGCAAATATTCATAAGTGAGCTTAATATGCATATAGAAAAAGCTGGAAGGCGCGCGTATGATTGTGTACGTCATCGATGACGTCACGAGAGACACTCTTGCACATGCGCACGCTTTTCTAATGTGATTGTGTCGTCATGTTTTTCCATCTTCTGTCTCTCAGTTTGAGAAAGAGATATTTAGATTGTTTTGCACTTGTATAGCAATTTTCTCGAAGTTTCAATTTGAAAGCTTCGCATACATACTGCTGTGATTGCGAATTTACAGACAAGCATGGGTGAATTTTGGAAAGAGAACGAAAACGACAATGAGATTTCGATGATGTTGAGGGATGGCACATTAGGAATGAGAGAATCAGAAATACAGAGGTATGAAGAAATGGTATACAACAAAGATGCCGAAATAACTGCCTTAAAGAAAAATCTTCAAGAAATGGCGATGCAAATGAGAGATCCTAATATGTACAAAGACAATCGTGGACACCCCCAAGTCAATATACTTATGGACGAACTTGACAAGTATAAAACCTTACTAAAGGAGACGGAGGATGGAGAAAAAGATCTCTTTGATGCTCTTAAAGAAGCAAAAATGGTCATTCGAGAAAGAGAGGGCGAAATTAAGAAACTGAAGGAGTTTATCAAAACTCAAGGAGATCAGTCGGCATCAAATTTAGTTGAAGTGAAAAAGAAGATCGATTTAAGAATTGAGGAATGCAACAGATTAAACCACGCAAAAGACAGTCTTCAAAGAACTATCAAAGAAAAAGACGAAAGAATGGAAGAACTGAGGTTATCTTTGTGGGAAACACAAAACTACTGTGAAAGGGAATCGAAAAGACTCAAAACAGCAAACGAAGAAAATGTCGTGAAAAAAGAACGGGAGTTAACTGAGCTGAAAAGAACATTCGAAGCAGAGAAAAAACGTTTTGAGCAAGAAGTTTTTAAACTACGGCAGTCATCTGCTTCCAGAGAAGATGAATTGCAGCAGATTCGAAAAGCAGCGGCTAATTTCCAAGATGCCATTAAAATTGATGAAGCAACAATTAACCAACTGAATACAGAAATCGAAGGAAAAGACTACGAGATCTTTAACATGCAACAAGCGCTTAAAAGTAAAAGCGACCATCACGAAAAAGTAAAACTGGAACTGGAGAGAAAAGTATTCTCGTTGGAGAAGGACTTGGAAAACGTCCAAGAAAGGTGCGAGGTTGTCCTTCATGAGAAGGAAAGCAAGATTGAAACACTTTCAAATGCTGTTGTCAAAGAGCAAGGTAAAACAACCAAAGAAATGCGGCATAAGGACCATTGCATTGAAGATCTCCGTCGTCAGGTAACCAAGCTCCAAAAGGAATGCCAAGCAACAAAAAATGAGCTTCAAACCGCCAATGACAAAAAAGCTAACGCAGAAACGTTGTCGAACCAGTTGAATGAAACGATGATAATGTTGCAGGAACAAAACGAAAACCTGCGCGGTATGATTGATAGCATGCAAGTTGACAACGAGAAAACTGCACAAGAAATGTTTACTCTCCAGGAAAAGTTTCAGGAGACAAAGGAGGAACTTTCTGTTTTTAAAGACAGCAAAAGTCAAATTGAGAAACTTTCCAAGGAATCGACAGAGAAAGACGTCCAAATAGCGGTACTACAGAGGAATGTCACCGAACTGAAGCATGTTCTTGAAAACATGAAAGGAAATGCTTCATTGTTGTCTTCGAAACTCGATGCCAAAACCAAGTCGCTGTTAAAAGCTTCAAAGACTTTGGAAGAATTGGAGAATGAAAAGAAAAACCACCAAGAGGAAATTGTTGTTTTGAAAAAAGACCTCGAAGACATTTCTAAAAAGAATGACAACACCGAGATGCTTCTGAAGGACTTGAAGGACATCGAGGCACAAAAAGGAAAGGATTACGAAAGTATGAAAGAAAAGTTAAGAGAGTTGGAGAGTTTGTTGAATCAAAAGGACAATGAGCTGAAGATTTTTCAAGAAAAACTAAAGACATCTGCAACTGTTTTTCACAGCGAGGAGCAAAAGTGGCAACTGATGTGTCAAAACAACGAGGAAATCATTGGAAAACAAAAAGACAAGTTAGCGAAAAACGAAAAAGAAATTAACTCGCTGCGAATGATTGCAAAAGAAAAAGAAAATCTCATCATCACTTTAGAAAACATGCTTAAGGAATCTAAGAAAAATGAACATAATTTTGAAATAAGCGTCCAAAAACTGACTCTTGCTTTGGAAGAAGAGAAACATGAGCACACTAAATGCAAAAACGAGGTGAAGGAATTCTTCGAGAAGTATTCACTTGCACTTGCAGAATTAAAAACCCTCGAGGAGACACATAAACATGAGATGGAAGACGTGAAAAACTACTACGGTGCTGTCTTCAACGACAAAGATGAAGAAAATACCAACATTAAGGAATTGTTAACAAAAACCGAAAAGAGCAAAGACGAAGAACTCAACATGCTTAAACAGCAGTTGACAGAATTCGAGGCTGCTAAGAAATCAGATATGAATTCAAAAGTCTTAGCAATCGAAAATTTAAAAAAATCCTTCACCGAAGCATCAAAACTCCACGAGAAAAAGCTGGGAGAGATAAAACAGTCATTTGAAGTAGAGATCTCAAAGAAGGATAAAGAAGTGAAAGAATTAAAGAAAGCAGTTGCGCATGTTAAGAAACTTCTGGAGAACAAACAGCGTGAACTTGCTCTCGAAAATGAAGCACACGAACTCATTTCCCAGAAGTATACAGAAGATTTTAAAATTATGAAAGAATCTAAAGCAGAAAGTCTCCGAAAATCAGAGCAAGAGATGGACGAGCTAAAGAAGACGCTCAAAAACAAAGTCGAAGAAAAAGAATATGAAATCAAGAAAATTATCGATTCTTCTAATGAGGCGTTGTCCAAAAAAGAGGAAATAATTTCAGGTAACTTTAGTGCAGCTTACAATTAGTCTTCCCTAGAATTCCTTGCGCAAAATAGGCTTTCTTCAATCAATTGGTCACTGCACGGCAGTACAAAATTGGCATACTGGATGGGAATTGACATTCATTAAAGGCTATAAATATAATCAAATTATAATTATAATCGTAGTTTATTTTTGAAGCCATATACTTACTTGATTGCTTTCCACATGGTGGATTTTGTACCATGTGGCCGTTTGGTGCCATGTGGTCATTTGATCCAATACCAAAACGATGTAAAAAACGGTAAAATAAGTTATATTCTACTTTATCATTGACAAATGTTTTGTTTGCCGGGTAGACATTTTTCATGACGAGCTTTATACAGTTTTAAACTGCTCAACGGGAGGCACATTAATCCTACTTAACTATGGTAATATATCTCACTTAGCTGACAACTCACGTCAACATAGCACTTGACCCACAGTGACCTTTCCGTGATTCCTTCTTCGCATRTAGCGTGACATGACAAACGTGACAAACTAATTACATWCAGGCTCCCATATGCCCTAGCGTGCCGTTTTGTTGTTATGATTTCGATAGTTATTATGAAAGTTCTGTGARATATCACRTTCGTATAACTGACAAGTACACAATGTTAATAGTTAATATGGAACCACTGTATAAATACATGGTTTGGCGCTCAAATTTGAAATTATCGAGGGAAGTCTTGCATCGGCAAACATGTAGGTCTTATCGACATGACGGTTCACCGTGTATATTCTCCTTCTTTGTGCCCGAACAAATGCTGGTACGCGCAATGTTTAAACAGCAAAGATGACGATTGAAAGACTACATTTCATCGGATGTCTGCAAAGCGTTTCCTTCTGAATATAAAGTCGTCTCCTTCGCAAGTTTACAAAATGGCGACGGTGGAAGACCCTTGTACGAGTGGTTTGGATCATCAAGAAAGAAAGACTCAGTTATTGTTGCTACTTCTTTCGGTATGATTGCCAAGCATCTGAGATCTAAAAATATCAGCAATGATCCCTTTGTTCAGTCAAATGAATTCAAATTTATCGCCCAGAAGATAGCTGGCATAGATCTCGAARAAATGGCGGGAAATCAAACTTACGCTGTACCAACACCACTCACACCACCAGCGACTCCAGGAACACCAGAACTAAGCACTCAAAGCCAAGTGAATCCACTYGAAAAAGCCGAAAAGGGYTGCAGTAATGTTTGTAGSAATATTTTGGCTCTGCGCAATTTGAAAGAGMGGCAATTAGGCCCACGACTTCACGCAAAAGYGGCGGCTAGCTTATCAAAGAATCTGCTGGATTTGATGAAAACATCTCTCAGCGAAAATAGCGAAGACATTGGCTCTATACTTGGAAATCTATATCTTCATGGTGAAGAAAAAGATCGCGAATTTGCGCAAAATGTGATTGGTTCTGCCATAAATGTTGTTGAAGCGAAATTGGGCACTCGGGAGACAATGACACAACTAACAGAAGAACACCACAAAAAATTCATTKGCTCTTTAAGAGTGCCARATTGGGTACAGCTGTACGTTAAGTTGGAATGCAAGATCCCTGATCACTCTTGGCAAACCATACTGAATTACCTCAACGTTGGCCGAAGTGGGGTGAGTATAATATTATCTATAAGCTTTTACCATTAAATATCGAACACAAATTGACTATGTATTACTGTAATGACTTCTTATACAAGTAGTTTGATAATTTAATTATTCAAATGTTRTTCACATTTTTTGAAGCAATTAACTTACTGGTTGTGTATTACCATTAATGTAGTGATGGCTAATCATTATTTAATTAATTAATAGATTTTTTAATGCATTTTGTTTTCTATTTCTTCAGAAAGACATTGATGCTGGGCTTCTATTAACCAACAACAACATAAGGTCAATACGACAAATGGTATTTTGTGCAACACGTCAAATCTTTAGAATGGAAATGCTACCTCTGGAGTTGAGGGGATATGGTGTCAGCCTTTCCATGGTTATGGCGTGGTCTGTGAGAGAAAGCCGACTGCATAAAAAAGCCCCAATTAACATGGAATTTAATATTAAGTTGGATGGCAGACCTTTAGCAGGTAAATGAAAAAAACAAAAAAAAAAAACAATACTACTTATGGAATATGTTCTTAAATTATTGTTTGCACAAAAGAAGTGAATACTGTAGTGAACAGTACATTTATGAATTACTGAATTTGTATTCCAAAATCGCTCTAAGATGAAAAGAAAACATATTGATTGTTCTGAATTACAAAACAAACAAATTACTCTCTCATAAGACTTAATTTATCAGGTAGAGGACAAGTGTCTGTTGGTATTGTACCAATTGGCCTGCATTCTACAGGAAATGGGGAGCAAAGTGCCCTTTCAGTTTATCCTCTTGCTATTGCAAATTGTAATGAGGAAAGGTAAGGCTTCACAAATTGTCTATTCAGCATACATAATTTATTTTACTTAGAAATATTTCATCTGAACTAATCAAACAGTAAATTTTGAAATGTGTACACAGAAACTTTTTATTTACATGCATATATTGATCAAGATCTAAAATTCAACTTTTTGTGTGTCATGATTTTTAAATTAAAATGCATAAATTAATTTCACAAGCTCTATGGTAGGATTATGGTGTTAAAATCATTTTGTAAACATTTTGTTGCTGAAGTGGAATTATTAAGGTATCATAGATTGTTTTATAATATAATAATTCAAAATTTGATTCTTTTTGTATCAGATAACCTATATAATAATTTCACTTCAAATCAAATTTTTAATTTAGAATAGTTATCTATAAACTGTATCATAACATTGASATAAATTTAGTTAACAAGTTTGTTTATTTCTCATTTCTTTATGACATCTGGTAATTATGAGAATTTGTAATGACTTCAGAGAACATTTGAAGACCCTTATTKCGCAAATAAATGAAGAAAAACGAGTAATAAAAGAAAAAGGCCTGACTGTCGATGGTGTAACACATATCATTGATTTCACAGGTATGATTAATTCATTTGATAACTGACTTGTGTTAAAACCCAAAAGACCTGCAACTGGTATAACAGTGTGGAAACTCTCTTTTGTTGAGTACAAATTAGCTTTTGTAGGAATTGTTGATTGGCCCAGGTAGAATTTAGCCATGGGGTCTATCGTTGTGACTAAATCCCACAAAATTGGCTATTTCAAGARACAAACCAGTCAATACAAAATTCTAAAATTCTATAGTTGCAATGGACTAGTGCCAGTTAGCAATGATAATATCTCCTCTGATTTTGAAGAGCATTGAATATTGAAAGTCTTCTACAAATTTGTTATTATAGTATCAAACAAAATAATTCATTCTCCATTTTAATCCAAAACTTTTTTTTTGCAATTCTTGTGTGAATGTGACAGCTACAGGTGGGAATTAGTTGCTACATTCATAACATTTTTCACAATATATTATAATTATTATGCATACTTTATTTTATTGATGTCATATATTTTACCAGTAACTCAATTTGTTTATATAGTAACTGTGGACCTGAAAGCTCTGTTTGAGCTGATAGTAAAAAAGGATGATGAACAGTTTATGCTAGGTGGAAAGGGCTTTGATGTGGAATTTTGCTTTTTCTGTTCTGTAYTAAGGGTAAGAATTAAGTGTATGTTTTATTGTTTGTAATAATTCAGTTTTTCAATTAATGACCTCATTTATTCTCCAGGCTTGTAAACAACATCTAGATGGACATTTTGATGAAGTTTGTCTAACTTGCCTCCAATCCAARGCAAATATTGGAAAGTAATCAGTTTTGTATGATTTTTTAATAAATTATATAGTACATGTAGTTTCCTATAGGCTTTTCCAATATGATATCACAAGTTGTGCAGCAATAAGCTCCCAGCACTACACAGCTGTGAGCACTACCCAGCACTGCACAGCTCCCACACCTATACAAATGTAGGTTTATTTYTATCTGAGAAGACCAGAAGATTTTAACATGTAAAGTTTTGAATAGTATAATAATACAAGAGTACACTCTTGCTAAATATTCATWTTGATTTTTAGGTGGAAAGGAATCAGAGATGACTTGCTTTTCTTGTTTGATGAGGAGCTAAGATAAATCTGTGTTCATTACATTGTGAAATGAGGAACACTGAACAATTGATTGGTTCTCTCGGTCTTTTTGCATTTAAATGTGATACACTCGAAAAATTCAATGAAGCACTTCATTCGTATGGCCCTGAAAATTCTTGGAATTATGACAGAATCAGAGTTAACCTGCGTAAGGGCCAACAAACAGCTGTTACAAAGTCCAACATTACAGTTACATCATTTTCAGGTAAGTTTATTTACTGATTAATGATGATTGTTTAATAGAATAGACAACAATTTAGACAATATAATTTCAACCTGAAAACAGCAGTCAAAATGTAGCATAATCACTGTGTAATCTTTGCTATCATATAATGCGGACAAGTGTTACATATTAGTAATGTTGAATGTGTGTGCAATATTGTTTGATTATTCTATATTTCCTTACTTAGCTTCATTACATGATAAGTCTTAGGTTGCCCACTTTGCAAAAGTTTTGTTTTTCTGAGTTGGTATTACAATTTAGGCCCCCTTAGGCTATAATTATGATTCTTAACTGTGAACTGTCTGACTCCCTGAAAGTTATCTTCGTTTTATATTTTTACTGGATAGTCACAATAGTAGGTTSATCAACTGAAATCAACTCTATGTACCTGGTAAAGAACACTTTTATGCAAAAAGCTAACATTTACCATATAACTTGACTAAATTATTACAGGAAATACTGAGAGAAAAATTTTGGAAAATGCTGAACAAATTGTGACTGAATCTCTTCCCATTCCCAAAGTGGTTAAATATTTTCAACAAGTCACAAATGCTGCCAATTCCATTGTACTTGGATATGTACGATTTGCTAATGAGCAAAAGAAGGCAAGTTTTCACAAATTATTCCTCTTATTCCTCCACTTAATCAATAGTAACTTGCATATAGCTGGAATCTACATAGTGCTATTTAAGTTGCAGGTTTAATGGGTTACAATGTGTTTATATGAGAAATTTGTACTGAAAACTGTGATGCTAATGTCTCTACAACTTTACTGAATATCCACAGTGACAGTATTCCAAAATTCGTAAGGTCATACAGTAGTACAAATTTCATTGTACTGCCTATTATTCATATTGAACCACCCAAATGTAGCACTTGATGTATCTCAATGTGGCCACTCTTTGTTTTTCATTTAACAGGCAGGAAATGATATATTTTGCCTAAAATCGAAGCCACTTAGTTATGACTGGATGGTACTTTGAGTCTTTGAAAACTTATTTAGATAACCTTTTTTCRCAGTATTTTCAAGCCATTCTAGAAAAGGGAACTTTTACTCGTGATTTTGGCAAGAAGCAGGTAGATGTTAAGCTGTGTGACAACAAAGGTAATTTAAGTGATCCTGAAGAGTTTTCARATAATCTTTATTTTTTTTTGGATTTCTGAAATTGACACTAAACACTATATATTTATGTATTATGAAATATTTGGCTACCGTGTTTACATCACAGTACCGAAACATTTGCATGCAGTTTCTACAACTGTACTTTTTATGAAAAACAACTTATCTTCTTAGAGCAGAAAAATATGATATTCATGAACTGAAAATGATATTTATTTATCCAGCTAATATATAATTTGGATATAATAATTGAATTATTTGTTCTGTGGCAAACAGTGTTAGACAGCTATCTACAGAATGAGTTTAAAGAAGCTGAAAAATGTCTTCAAGAGATAGAAAAGAAGTACTTAGCTTGTTGTGAGCCACCAACCAAAAAGCTTACCAAAAAGACAAAGAAAGCTGCTTCAGTGCTGAGTAGTGACCTTGCTGAATTGGCTGCATTTCTTCAAGTTGAGCACATAAAGAAGGTACTTATAAATCATGAAATTTCATATAAGGTGTACAATGTACTAGAGAGAGGGTTATAATTACCAAAAAATATTGCACTATAGATCAAGCAAGTGTACATTTGTGCTAATGTACATTAAAACTTGCAGCAACATTTAACTTTAAAATACTTTTAAGTATTATTTATTAATTTATTTATTAATTTATTAATTTATTTATTTATTCATTCATTTATTTATTTATTTATTCATTTATTTATTTATTCATTTATTTATTTATTCATTTATTTATTTATTCATTTATTTATT